GCGGATCTCAGATCCGGCGTGCTTAAGAAAATTAAAGTAATTGGGCATTAATTATTAACTCCATTTGTCTAGGAAGAACTATAGTTCACGTCAGCCAAGTTAAAGGCGCCTTTCAAAGCGTTCAGCCGATGCCGGCAGCAACTCACCGACCCGCAGCCAGAGGAGCAGCGCCGGACCCGACCCGCAGCCGGGGATCTCCGCGCCCGGACTGCCTCGTCCCGCACCACCGCCCCAACGCAGGAGCGGGGCTGCTGTACAGCTCGGACGGGGCGGGACGACAGCGGCTCCTCTCTTTTCTCTCTTTTTATGTTTTTTTTAAGAGAAAAGCAAGGCAGCAGGGCTGGGGAACACCTGGGAGAAAAGCCGCCCCAGCCGTGCCCCCCCCCGCTCCGCCAAGCCCCGGCCAGGCGGCGGCACCGCCGCGCCCAGCCCCGGGCCCCGTCCCGCTCCCAACTTCGCCCAACTCCGCCGGCCGCACCCCGGGGCCGGGACACGAAGCCGTCCTGCGGTCACCCCATCGCTCCCCCGGTCCAGCCGCCGCCACTCACCGTCAGCCCGAGCAACAGCAGCGGGAACCGTCCGCAGCACCGCGCAGCTCCCACACGCTGCCCCGGCACAGCCATCGCCGAGCACGGCGCTGCGGGCTGCGGCTGCCGCTGCCACGTCTGGCGGCGCACGCGCGCTTCGTCGTTCCCGCCCGGCCGCGCGGGGCATGCCGGGAATTGTAGTCCGCCCCGCCGCCCCCGGGAGGGCTGCGGGAGTGCGCCCGGACAGCGGCCGCCATGCCGCGGGGGGTTGTGCCGTGAGGCTCCACCTCACTCCTAGCATGTGCTGGGCTTACAGTCGTAGAATCGTCCAGGTTGGAAAAGACCTCTAAGATCTAAGATCGTGTAATCCGTCAACCTGTCCCCACTGTGCACACTAAACACGTTCCTTACTGCCTCATCCACATGGCTTTTTAACTCCACTCCCCTGTATTCCAGCACAACACTGCTCTTTCAGAGAAAAAATGTTCCCTAATACCCAACCTGACCCTATAACTCCAGGCCATTCCCTCACATCCCACCGCTGTTATCTGGGAGCAGAGGCCAACTCTAACTCACCACAACCTCCTTTCAGGGAGTTGTAAAGAGCCATAAGGTCAGCTCTGAGCTGCCTCCAGTCTGAACAAAGCCAGTTCCCCCTGCCTCTCCCCATAGGACCGCGCTCCAGACCCTACACAGCTCTGCACCCTTCTCTGGACACACTCCAGGACCTCAATATATTTCTTGTAGTGAGGTGCCCAGAACTGAACACAGCACTCGAGCTGTGCCCTGACCAATGCACTATTGCTGATACAAGCCAGGATGCCATTGGCCCTCTTGGCCACCTGGGCACACAGCTGGCTCATGTTCAGCTGGCTGTTAATTAACACCCACAGACACTTTTCCACCAGGCAGCTTTCCAGCCACTCTGTCCCAGCCTGTAGCATTACATGGGGTTATTGTGATCAAAGTGCAGGATCTGGCACCTGGACTTGTTGAACCTCACACAACTGGCCTCAGCCCATCAATCCAGCCTGTTCAGATCCCTCCATGTAGCCTTTGCTACTGGCAAAGGGGTTGATGTACTTTTGTCATACTCTTTAAAAATAACTGCTGGTTTTAGGTCTAAGGTGTGAGGTGAGTGAGGGAAACAAACAGTAAGGAAAGGGAGATGGGAGTTAATTGGAAGAGAAGCTTAGGAGGTGGGACTCCTAGGAATTGACTGTTCTCTGGCCAGTTGTTCCTACATGCAAATGTTAAACCCTAAAGAAGAGCCCCGCAACCCTCCAATGCCAGACAGCAAGCAGTCAGACCACTCAGTCTGGATCCACCGACCCTGATCTGGATCAACGTCTGCAGCCCCCACCAACAGGTCAACATGCCACATGCCCACTGCACCGATGGGCATCCCAGCCCTCCTGTTGTCTGTCGCAGCCTGGTGGGACCCAATCTCCTGCCACGTGCTGCCTAGAGCTCTTCCTCTCTGCAGCAACATCAAAGGGAAATCAAAGGTGTCTGTTGCAGTCTGATCATGGTGGCTGGCTGTCGCCTGAGCATTGTGCCATGAGAATGGCTTCAAGGGAGTAATTTGTAGATCCATGCAGCTGACTGATCGCTTCAAGTGGCGATCATGAAAACTGAATGCCACTGACATTAACAAGTCCCTCGGTGGAGATGTAATTTTAGCAAAGCAGAAGTGCACAAAGAGAAAGTCATTACTGTTAAAGTTTACGCTTTCGTGACATCTTTTGCAGTTGAATCTGTGTGCACTGTCCTTGGTCACAACTGGATAACCTTCAGCAAGTCGTTTCATGGAGCTGTGCTCTGCTTCCCACTTGCAGAAGGTCCAGACTGGCCAACCTGCAAACAGAGTTGGCAATCCTCAGTCTCACTGTAATGCACTGCTGAGTATAGGTGAACAGCTCTGGAACCGTCAGGAGTTTAGGATGAGGAAGGGTGGGCAGCCAGAGAGAGTCCAAGGAAGGAAAGGTGTAATAAGTAAGTGTAATTTTGCAGTGGAAGGACCCAAGACAAAACATGCACTGCATCAGATGCCTGTATGTGTACTGCTGCTTTTTGCATGTAGCCTCTGCTGACTGTACTGGTGTTTCTGGCGCTGTGCTCCTCACTGCCAGAGCTGGTGCTTTCCCAGTTGAAATAACAGCCTACCAGCAGCAGGCCACGGATCCCAAACTGCAGTCCATTTCAAACAAAACTTCCAGGAAGAGGTCTCCTCTTCCAGATGCTGCTCATCTTCAGATAACCAGCCCAGAGCTGAAAGGCTTTTGCAAACCACTATGCTGACTCAGCCAGACCTCTAATATCAGCTGGATACCCAGGTCCTCAAAGGCTGTTTGAATCCTCCCGTGAAGAAAACTGATACATCTGACGCTTCACATCAGTTACCAGTACCAGATAATGCTAAAGTAACCACAGGTAGTGGCTTTTCTGTGCTGCATCATCACCATGCAGGATGCACTGCCCTTGTGGCAGGAAAGAATAAAACTCTGGATCATCGTTGTTTTGTTGTAGGGTGCTTTTTTGCCATAATGGCAAGAGGAAATGATCTCAGGAAGAAAGTAAAAGAAAGACAAAAGGCAAGGAAGATAAGCTACTTGAAAATGGGCTTCTGAAAGATTACACAGAAAAATTCCACTTTGGGAAGCTACAATTCTTGTATATGGAAGAATATTAAAAGGGTATTCTTGTGACAACTACAGTTTCTTTCTTTTAGTTCAGCTCGATAATTTGTATTGACATGACACGCGTTGCCTAAACTTAAAAGACAAAATCGTTGAGCATCTGTCTTAGGTCAAAATAATATATCACTTATCAGCTCTGAACTGGGCTTTACACAGTGGCAACCACTTAATCAGTCCAGTCGTGCATTACTAATGAACTCATTACAGCAGTATCTGAGTGCACCACTATCCAGTCCCAAGTTTTACACTATATCCATTTAGTATTAACATCATATGCTGCTTGCTTCTCCATGCTTTTAATATTTGTATATGGTACCTCAAGATGCTGTCAAAGCATCCATTAATTCACCACCGAGAAGCAACAAAGCATTACTGCCCTTGGATTATAGATCAGAAAACAGTAGCAGAGAGATTATATGATTTGCCCAAGGCTATAAAACCAGACACTTTCAGATGAGGTTCATTTCCAAAAGTCTGCACTGGAACTGCTAATCCTTACTTGTCTGTCTATATTCAAATGCCTGTTTTACCAAGAATTAAATACAAAAAGGACTGACACTATGTCTGCATCAAATCACACCTTCCATGTTTTCTATATGCTTCTGCTTCATTTGACAAGGTTTATTCTTTGTTCTCTTTTTAACCTGAGCAAGTCTCTGGAAGCCTCAAAGTAAAGGTAAAATGAGTCACCTTTACCACAGAAAAATGACAGCTGAACAGACAGGAAAAGACATGAGCACTTTGCAAGCCAAACTGAATCCAGGGGCAACCCAGTGGTTTACACCGGGACCCCAAATCACATAGCGTTTTCCTGATGTGAAAGCGGGATTCCCTCACTGCCTTAACTGCAGCAAGGTCTCCTCCTTCCTTCCAGCACCATCTCTTTCTTCCTTATTCAGCTCCAGCCAACTGATTGTAATCTTTGGGCTTATCTCTTGTAAGTCTTGTGACATCTGTGTCATGGCACTGATTGCATCAGCCGAACATGCAAGCTGGTTGCCATCAACAGATTGATGGTATCAAAGCCCTGGGCTCCTCCTGACCTTTCCTACAGCTCTTCTGCACATGATGGAAAGGAAAAGAGACAGCACCAGCCCCTGTAGGATTTTACATGGGAGTGGTCTCAGAGAAGAGACACAGCTGCACACTGCTTTTCTCCAGCAGACGTCTGTCAGAGGGGAAAGCCTGAAGGCAGCTTTCCACTCCTGCTGCCTCCTTAGCATCTGGTAGCGGGGCTGCAGATGAAGCATATCCACACACTTCAGCTAACAAGTTATACAAAAGATCCTTAGCATGCCAAAAAGGAAAAAAAAAAAAAAAGAGGGACGGAAAGGTGCAGCTGTTATATAGAGGATTGTTTCTTAGACTGAACATTCCAGTTTCATACTTTTGCATAAATCCTTTTGGATGCTATTTTGTTAATGGTGAAAATGCACTGTGAGTCTCTAGGGACTGCTGCCTGTAATTCTGCTGTAACATATCTGTGCTTTTCACCTGATTTGCTCTCTACAGTGAATGGGAATGGCATGAAGGCAGATCAGGACAAGGTTTGGCTTGTAGGCTTTGTGAACAGCATCCTCAGTGCTCTGCAAGGATTCTGTATGCAGCCATGTCACTCAGTGTTTTCATTTTCTGCATCCTACCCCTTTACGTCTCTGAGGTCTTGAAGGACTGTGCACTTTTGTATAGACCTCACACAGCACAAAGAAGAAATACACACATGCTGTGTGCTTTCATGGGAATTTTACTTTTGTACTATATTGTTGTTGTTTCCTTCAGTCTAGAATCAAAGTATTTTTGGGCCATAGGTAGACAGATGCTCTTTATATATGAGGAAAAAAAACAGTAGGTACTGCAGGAGTCAGTTAAAAGTAGAGTACAGATATTTTCCAAACTTTTCTTCCTGGGAATTTTCCATTACATTTTTTATTGCTTGCTTTAGGTGTGCCCCTTTACATTTAAGAGGTCCTACCATTAAGAACACTGTCATTTCTTTCACTGAATCTCCAAAGCTGGATATAATGTGTTCCTGAGTACCATAAAAGTCTTCTGCAGCATGGGCACCTTGCTGGTTGGTAGTAGATAATTTATGTCTCTCAGTTACCTGCTGAGAGAGTAGTTTAAACAAGATTAAAACAACCATTGGAGTCTAGCTGTTATGCAGTGGCTACAGCACTCCAGCATGTTTCCAAACTGCTGCCATCAAGACAGCTTTCTAGGGATTTGCAGAAGCTTTGTATAACACTCACAGTCTGTTTTACCTTGAATGCATCATCAGGAAAGGGTTGAACAGCGAGCTTGTGAGGAGAGTGGAGATTTGAATCTGAATTCAGCGTGTAGGTAAACCACAGCTTTCACGCCTGAGGATTTGCATTTCACAAGGTCTAGCACATCTCTGCCTGTAAAACAGAAATAGGTGCCTTAGTGGAGTTCAGGTAACACCCCTTAGATTGTGATGGTGCCTGTGTACCCTAATAACAAGCCCCAGCTAGTTATTTTCAGACACTACTGGTCTCTGCTGAGCTGGCAAAATATTTGTCTTTACTGCAGGACTTCACATACCCAGACTAGCTCTGTTGCTCTGCTCAGGGGTAGCCTCCCACCAAGGGTAGCAATGAGGAAGGAGATGGGGCTTCTTGTATGAGTGGAGCTATTATGCCTCTAGTCTGTGTTCACAAAATATCATACATACGAAGGACTAACTATGAAGGTAGGACTGTAAAGATACGACCAAAATATTTTTTGGTTTAAAGCAGTGTTTGCATTACTTGCCTCAGTCTTCAGTAGATCTGCATCCATCTATGGTAGCTGAGCATCTGTCTCTATATTGAATCCAAAAATGCATTAGCATTCAGCCGTCAGCATACATGCAGACAATGTTCTACTAAAGTATTTTTCATACATCTATCCTGTGAGAATATATTCAATATATGCAATACATACATATTCAGTACTTTTCTCTCTGTGTATGTAGATAGATAATTTTATATCTACTTTTTTACACACATGCACACATATACGTGGCATATATTAAATTAAGCAGATCCTTTGTCACAATCCATATGATTATATATAAATATAGCCATTATCCAGAAAGTATCAGTTTTCTTTCCTTCATTTTTTCAGCTTTTCTGGTATTTGTGTGCTTAAAGTACTGCCTGTGTAGGCTTAATTAAACGTATGACTGCAGTCACTACTTACTGTGTGCAGTAATGCTGACTTTAATGAGAGGATATTTCTTCCTGAAAGACCTTGTCTTTGCAAGGACCTCTTCTCACACTTGTATGAAAAGAGACGTGTTCTGATGAAGTTAGAATAAAAAAAACATAACGATCAAATCCTTTGGCTTTCTGCAGATGGGCAGTCAGGGTAGCAATTTAGCAATTCAGTGAGGAATTTACTGGGTCCTTAGGATTTTTTCTCTCTAAACCTCTTTCCTTCCTGCTTATTTCAGTCAGTAACCTATCTTTTAGTAGAGATACACTGCTGAGAATGCTCCATGCAAAAAAAGATTGTAGAAGATGCAGGGAAGCGAGTGGGAATAAGGCCTTGATCCTGAAGTCTTTGAAGGTAATGGATTGACTTCAGCAGGCTTTGGCTCAAGCCCTAGCTGTCAGAAAGAAAAGTCAGTAAAGGAAGCTGGAAAAATAGTTCAGAAACAACATGGAAACAAAGGAGGCAGAAGTAATAAATACTGAATACAGAAGGAAGAAATCATGAAAAGGAGGAGTGCCAATGAAAGAGAGGCAGAGAAGAGCAGTAGTGGACACCACTGAAATGTCAATAGGTGAGAGTGAGAAGAAGGAACAATAAGCAGCCCACGAAAAAGGAAGCTGGTGTGCTCCTGTGTTTTCAGCTGGTCATCCACATAGCACAGCTCTGACACCGCCAGTGACTAGGTGTCAGAGAACTACACAGTCTTGTCTCCCCACTGCAGGAAGGATGAGATCATTTAGGGTGGTTTTTTTTTTTTTTTTTTTTACCACCTCAACGCTGTCTGGCAACCATTAATAGGCCTGTGAAAGTATTATTTTTCTCATTTTCTCCTCTTGAAATGTGCATGAGCCTGGTGACAGGAGGTTACTTGGCTCCTGTTTGTGAGGTAGGGAGATTTACAGACAGCTTCTGCTGTGAGCCCCCGTGGTAGGGTCTGTGCTGAGAATGATCATTCCTCCTATAAAGGATCATAGTAAGGTTTAGTCGTTCTTCCAGCTCTTCCTTTAAGAGTCCTTTGATTCGTTAAGATTATTACCAACAACTCTGTTTGCTTCTCGACACCACAATCCAATAATGGAATTCTTGCAGCACTGTAACAACTGAGCAGCAACTCTGCCAACCCGGTAAATTCCATCCTACGCTTTTATTGTCAAGGGCATCCACATACCTGCTTCTTCAAAAAGCTGCACCAGTTGGACTTTGCTGAAGCTAAATTATTCTCCTCCTGGGCTTCAGCCAGAGACACTGGACTGTAGCAGGGCACCAGGACAGACAGACAACCGTCTAGAGAGGGATGGAGATCTGCAGGTGACATCTCTCCACCCATCACATCTCTGTGCCTTAGAAGACAATCTTTTTTTTCACTTCTTCAGAATATCCTCTTATTCTCTTCTCTCCTGGGCCATCTTTCCCTGTAATATCCATTTCCCAACTACATTTCTTTGCTGTCCTCTTACATAATTTTTCCACTTCACCCTTTTAAAGAAAGATTTAGATTAAAAAGGGCCTTTTGCTGCTGTCACCTTGTTTACTGTCCACATGTATAACACTCACTGCTCCATCTTGAGTGTTGCTGCTCAGCCCATAAAGTCTCAGAGCTAAAGACTGTCTTTTCCTCTGTTTCTCATGGGACTACTTAATAGGTCAGTTGTTAGGCACGTGCAGTAGACATCATAAATAATAATGATTCTGAGTTCCTTCAGCAATGATTTTCTCATTGGTCTTGGTTTTGATTCCTGTGTACTCTGGCTCCAAGAGATACATATACATAAAAATAGACACAAATGGCTTTAGAAGCCGAGAGTTTTCCAGCAGTCTGCAGAGTTATCGTGTGGTGAGTGGACCCAGTAAACACATCAAGTACTGACAGATATCTGATACAGCCTATCAGATTATTTCAGGTATGTTTCTCTTTATTGAATTAAATTTTTTGGCAGAAAAATTCTATTCTGGGCATCTGGGTCAAGTTTGATTATTTTAGAAAACTTCTGCCAGAATTATTCAGTCATCTCTAAGTATTAGGCTTATTTGATGGGGTACCTTAGAAATTCCTGGCCACCTTTTGTCTGAAAGGCTCTAATTTCCTCCTCTCTTGAAGGAGGTATCTGACATTCATGGCAGAGTCATTCCCAGTCCCTGCAAAGACTTAATCAATTTTCACGAAGTAAATGCAGATTAAAAAAGCAAGTGCTTGGATTCGCAGGGCTGCAGTCTGCACAGCTCCAACAGCTCAACCTTGCAGCTGCGCGAATCAGCAGAGCTGCTTCTCCATCCTACGCCACAAGTATCGTTTGCTGATGGAAGACTGGGAGCTCATGAGCTGAGAAATGCCCCAGGATCAGATGAGAACTGGAGGGAGACTGAGAGAGACCAAGGTTGAGCAAGTAAATGCCACCAGGAACCTAATTTAAAAACGTAAGAAACCACATGCACACAAACTCTGGGAAATGTTAGAATAAGGATACCTGAAAAACTATTTTGTCCTTCTTGAACATTGTTTGTGAGATAGAGTTTTTAATTACGTAATTGCATATTTTTTTCCCCCATAGACTCTCTAACTTGCTTGTTGCAGTTGTCAGGAGACGTATAACTAGAAGGAAAAAAGATGATCTTATCATCAGTGCAATATCAGGCAAACTGCTTAATTTTTTTTCTGCAAATTAATTGTAAATTTTGTTATTTTAGTTTCTGGGTACTCACCTTAGCATCTGGTCAGCTTTGCAGCAATGCTGAGCACTCATAAGAGAAACTGAATTCAGTAGGATCAATGCAGAGCATACCTGAACTATGTACTGCTGTCTGCTCTGAAATAGGTCTTAGGCATTTAAATAGTACATTCACAGTTGGGGACTGAACCTTACATTGCCTTGTTTCTCTTCCCTATTTATGAAGTGAAAGGGAATGCTCTTTTGTCCTGCTGTATATTGAGAAGAAAAAGCTTATCAACAGGCATGAAGCACTCAGGCTCTGTCAGGGTAACTTATATGCAAAAGACCTCATGATGAATATAGCTCCCATCAAAGCAAAGTCTGAGTAGCATACAGTAAGGAGGCAAGGGTGTATGCAAGAAGGAAGATAAATCAAAATACGAAGAATTGCACAGGTATTGAGCACCATCTATCCTGTGTGCTAAAGAAGAAGGGAACTGTGGAAAAAAACCTGTGTTCAGATACTAACAGATGCCTACATTAAGAAAGCAGACTTGAAGGAAATGAACAGCGACAAAATAAGAAGGTGCTCAAAAGCGTTCTGTAGAAATGTGTTAAGGACCTGTGAAATTGACATAATTATACTTTTCCTTGCTAGTGAAATGCCCTGAGAACTGCTTGTGAAATCTGCTACAAGACTTAATGAATTATTATTTTCACAGGAGCAGTAAGATCTTATGGAGTGGCTCTAGGATAGCTCAAAGGATGGATCTGAAGATGACTGCAGTCAGTGGGAAGTTTGTTAATTTCAGGGGGAGCTGGAGCAAAATCCATGAGCTATCAAATCCAGTTTCATTTTATGAAGTAATTTTGTGTCATGAACTGTAGACCCTAGAGACAAAACTACGGATTTGAGGTTATTAGGGTGACATAAGCCAGGATCTGGACTAGGTTTATTTTTTAAACAAGTTGCTTCTTGGCAGCAACCCAGAAAATAAAAACAATATGCGTAGAAAAATAAGAGGAAGGATTGCATGGAAATAAAACAGCAGTTGAAACTAGATCTGTACAGACAGGGGAGTCAGTACAATATAAGACAGGGACTGAACTGAGGCTCTAATAAAGGCATTGGTCCAGCTGAACTAGTAAAAAGCAATAGAATGAGGTTTAGTGGAGACTGACAGGGTCACCTCAAGCTCATTTCCCTGCATGCACCCTAGAAGGAACACTGGTAGAAATGGCCATTTTTTTTCCTTCTGTCAGTTGCACAGCAGAAAATCTGAGCATCCACTGAGGGCTCTATCCATGACAAGCAGAAAATGGTTGCATTAAAAGCACAAGCCAATACAGTGAATGTGACCAAAGAAATACAGGCTGACAGTAAAAATACAGCAGGTTTGAAGCGTGCCATAGCGCTTTAAGTTTATGAAAGCAGTACATCTGGGCAGCTAGCATGGAAAGCAATGACCTGTTATTGCACGTGTCTGAGGTGCTACTGTGGACAGGCAAAAAATACAAGATTCTAAGCATCCTTT